CTAAAAGGTTTAAAAGGAGGAGGAAAAGACACCTTGGTGCTGTAAGACCAAGCCTTTTCCTTCTGTGATTTTTTTGCCAGCCCATAATAAAGGAGGGGTCATTGCACAAGCTGCTACATTCTGTTTGCTCATATTGAGCAGTTTCAGGAAGGCTTGCCCCATGCAGTTGTGTGAGAAGCTAATTATGGCTCTATAATTAGCCATGTGGAAGGACAGACCTCCCCATGTGGAGGGAAGCACTGCAACAGCAGGCACAGAGAGGTCCCTGAGCCAGAGCCACCAAACAGTTGGGTGAACAGATAGCTAAGTGTGTAAGGTCAGAGTAGGGATGAACTTTATATGGAGGAAATAGCCAAATTAAATGACTCACAGAATACAAAATACATACATCAGCTGGACTACCAGACAGAGAGTTAATTGGACATTAATTACTATATTACTGTGGGGGAAGGTCCAGAAATAGGTAATCAAGCAGTGAGTTTTAGATAGCTATTGCAGCTATTGTAACTTCTTTTTTTTTTCTGTTTTAGCAGATACAAAAAACCAGACTGTTTATACACACATTCTGACTGAGGTGCCTGTATGTTTTTACACCAGGAGAACATCTGTAAATGTGACATGAACATTTGATAGGTTACTATATTGAAAAGTAACTGCATTTTTAAAGTAGTTCTTAGGTCCTGAAAACAATTCACAAGTAAATATCCTGTCCTCTGGAGAAGTATCTCATTAACCATTTTAACAGCCTTGCATATGTTTGGAACAAGAGTCTTGAAACAGCCTAATAGCTGCAAACAAGGCTGCTCTGAGTTCTGTCAGGAGGGCAATGGTTACCCCTGCCAACTGCAACTCCAAGCACTTCTCTTGTCCACCAATGGTCACATCAGAGAGGACTGACAGACCTCACTGGCCTCCAAGTCCTCCCATTTCTCCTGAGGGGAAACCAGCTACAAGAGCCAGAGCAATTTACCCTTAATATCTGAGAGATAATTAGGTTGGCTCCTTGTTGGTTTTGTGTCAGTGAGACTAAGGAATGGATGAAGTTGCCTCTCCACAACTTTCCTAATGATCTTCCTAAAATGGCAAGTGGATCACAAATCACCAAAATCTAACTAGACTGTCAGCATCAACAAGTGGTTTCCAAGTCCTGGCACGAAAAGACTTTTGGTTCCCAGAGCTTAAGTACTTTGGCTCTTGGAGGATCCCTGTGGAGAAGACAGACACCTTTGTACAACCTTCCAGCTGTGCACAGCCATAAGGGAGAAGTGCAATGGCTTATTGGCCTTTCAAAGTAAAAGGACATACAGACAAAATTGCCCAGTGCAAGCAGGGAAAGGCAAGGAAGAAGAAATGTTTGAGCATGTATCTGTATACAAACCTGCCTCAAGCTTTAATTGTGAAAAAAAAACACTGGAGTCCTCTATGTAAAAGGCACAAAGAAGATGTGGCTTCTAATCAGAAGGCAAGACCAACTGATAGCATTTGACTTCTACATAATTTTTTAAAACTGCATGCTGAAGCATGGGTTTTGCCTAAATTCACTGCAAAATGGGAGTTATGAAAATGTATCCTATTACTAGAAGTTTGAAGGGAAAAACAAGTACACAAAACAGTTGTAATTCCTCACAGTTTAAGATTATATAAACCAGGACAATATTGATGGCTTTTGCTGACAAATAACACATGGGGAGCTTAATCCTACTCTTAGCTCAGTAAAAGGGCAATGCCAACTGTTTTCAGTGGGAACTGTTTCAGATCATCTCTGGACATAATGTAAAAGACAAATTTAAAGTTCTTGTGCTTTTTCAGAAAAAAACACCCAGATTTCCACGGCTTATCTTACTCTTATGAAAATATTTGATCAGAGACCCTATTCAGTGCCTCACATGTGCTCTTCATGTGTATGGAAACAATTGTAATCATCATACACTCTGAGTCAAAGACTTTTGACAACTAAAATATTATCTATTTAAACACTTTAGAAAACTTAACACAAATCATCCACAGACCTTTGAGAATTTTTGAGACAGTGGGTGAGGAAAAAGATGTGACTGAAGGTCCCCAGCACACCACATTCCAACAACTCCTTGCAGGCTGCAGCCCTGATAGCATTTTGAAAATTGCTGAGCATGCCAAATGTAGAGGCTGTAGCTGAGCAATTATCATCTAGCCTAAGTCAGCCCCTCTACCTGAACTGGCACTCTCATCAGCCAGAGAGGGATCAGCCAGGGCAAAACCCCAGGGATTTCTCCATCCTCTGAGACATTTCTTTAAATACAGTCCTGGGAGTTGATAAAACCTCAGGCTTCCAGAGCAATTGCATTTTTCTGACAGAGAGACAATACTCTTTTTATCAAAAGGGTATTGCTCTGCATTTGTAAAAAATCAATATGAGGGATAATTTCAAACACATACTACAATTTCCTTACTTTTTTGTTGTTGTTGTTGTTAGAAAAGCATGCCAGTGTAAGAAAGGAATGTTGCCTAAATAAATTACACCACTTGTTTTTTCCAGAGGGACATAAGACCTCATGGTGACATATATTTACCTTATCATTTTTAGTGTAGGGTATAAATATATGCTGATTTCTCATTTAAGACTTGGTATGCCAGATCCTTACTTGAAGTAAATTAAAGTAACTGGTGACTCCATGTAACAAATCTATGTCAATTCATTTATGTCATACAATATGGAGTTGAGTGTTTTGAAACTTGAGCCAAAAATATACTAATGGCCTCATTTTGTGTTCAGTGTAGGAGAGGACAGTAATGATAAGGTCCTATAAAGTTATGCAAACTGACTGAAGATCTAACCTGGCATTTTTTTACTCAGCTTTATTAGGGGCTTGTGGTTCAATCTTGCCCTATTGTGTATTAGTCCCCTGAAACTGGAAAGAGACTAGCATGCAGGGAGCAAGTATTTTGCTCAGCAGTAGCTGTTTGCAGGATTGTGCTCCTGCTCATTATGTGATAATAGCCTATAGATACTGACCCCCATGGACTAGCTTTCTGTACAGCAGGGAGAAACACACATCAGCACATATACACACATCTCTGAGGCACAGTTTGTAAGGAAACTCACCACTGCTAGAAGCATCATTGAGATTTAGCAGCCCACCTCCCAGCCCTCTGTAACTATGGTAACTGTAGGTCCCATTGCCGTTGATGTACAACACCTCCTGCGTGCTGGAAACAGCTGATGTTGAGTAAGTGACCTGGGCTGGCTCCTGTTTGCACTGCTTGTCAGCTGGAGCAGCCTCATCCTGCAAAAATCAACAAAAGATTTGGAATTATGGTTACATTTCACCTTGCATCTGAAGGTCTTTTCCATTGTTAAGATTAGAATCTACATCTATTGCTTTCACAAAAGTATAATGCATGTTAAACAAGCACAGATATGTTTATGATTGACCAAATATCAGCATAAAAGAAAAAATGGAAATAAGCAAGAATACAGATTTCCTAAAAATCTGAGAATATTAATTTATTTGTGCTCCACAAACCAACCATACTGTTTCTCAAAGGAGTATATGTACCCTCCCACCCTGAAGAGCTCACAGCCTTCTCCAAAGCTCAATTTTGTACAGAAATAGTGGGAAAGGATAGGAAATAGCCATTTCCTGAGTACTGGAGTGACTCTTACAAGTCAGAGAATCATGTATTTCTTGATAAGATAAACCAATACAGAATGCACCATCTACTTATTTTGAATGTATCAGTGTCAGAAATGACAGAAGGAATAGAGGAATGGAAAAAACCTGCATTCTTGTTTGGAGAAGTCTGAGTGAGTGTCCTTCCCCACACAGGCCACAAAGTAGGGATGCCTCCACAAGAGTGACTTGAAATACTGTTGCTGTTTATACAGTACTTGTTTATACACCATGAGTTTTCCTCAACACTTCCTGTTTGCCTCTTTGATGATTGCATATTTAACAGAATTTAGCACAACAGCCCTTCAATTTTCCCTCAAAGGAGATGTTACAGGTGAAAGTGTACTATTCCCCATCTGTACTTATTGTATCTACTGCTTAGAGTACCTCACCTCCGCTCATGAACACAGAATGCCATGATAGCAACTTTATTAATGACACAGGTGAAATAAAGAAAAGCATTAACAGAAGATTTAATGCATTTGAGTAGCTGGAAACTAAGGCAAAACTTCATGTTTTTAAGAGACTTGGCCAAAGTGTTCTCCTAAGTATTTTCTTAAGTAATAATAATCTTAAATAAATGGCCAGAATTGCAATGTATTTTTTATCAGGAATTTAATATCATTTACCTTTTATCTCCAAAGGTCATTGATGTCTCTTATGAGAGAAAATATATTATTTTCTCAGAGAACATTCATAAGCTACACAGTAAAGTTCTATCTTGGCAACATAACTTAACTCATCGTCCAAAATTTTAACACTCTCAAGACTCAGATGTTCTGCCTCCTTATGTCTAAAACTAAATGATGCTTCCTGCCATAGACTCACTCAGAGCCTCATTTTTTTTCACAGAGCTCAATAGTAGAACTTCTGCCAAGCTATCAAGGACTAAACTGTGTTCAAGGGGCACATTGCAAACAGGACTAACTCGTATAGCTGAGCAGAGATTGTCAGGATTGGTCTCCTTATCCTCGCTGTCTGGAGCCCACAGATTTCCTGACCCTGAATTCACACGTCCTCCAGAGCCCCTCTAGTGAGGGCACTGAAGCCCTAACTGGAAGTCTCTTGCAGAGCAGATGCACTGAGCTCTGGCAAAGCCCAGAAGGCAGAGCCTGGCTGGAGGATGCAGCAAGGATGCTTGGTGCACCTTGGTGCACACCAGCCCATGTGTTCCAGAGCACATGGCCAAGAAGTGGGAGACCAGAGTTCTGGCTACTTGTCGCAGTACATGGTGAAGAGGCGGAAAAAATTGGGATGCAGGGTCTCTGCTGGCTGTGGTGAGGAGGGGACCTGAACTCAGAGCTGCCATCTCCTAGCAACCAGGCTCCAAGCAAAACTGTGGTGGGAGTCAGCGCTGAAGCTGTGCCACTGTGCGGGAAGGAATGCACAATTCACAGGGCTACAGAGATAGCACAAGAAAAGGGAGCATGACTCAGTTCTCTCTCAGAAGTGCTGTCTTGGGAGGCTCCATTCCAGCTACGCCCTAACACAAAATCCACAGGAGGCTTCCAGGTCAGAAAGCCAAGGTTGGAGCTGAGCTACTGAAGGGGGATCCTTGTAAAGAACTAATCATAGCCCTACAAACACTGTGACATGCCATGGCACAGGGCTTGAGGTGAGTTTGGACACTCCAGTGGGGAAGGCATTCATTCTCAGGGAGGCTAAAGTTGAGGCTGGTGCTGAGACCAGGACTCCTGGTTCTGCATATGGACTCTAATCTCTTGGCCACCATGCAGAAGGAGGCTTCCTCTAAATATTTCATATCTCTTTAAAGAGCACACTGATCACCTGTCCCTAAATGATTAATAAGTTGCCATACATTTCAGACATTAAATCTGATCCTTAACTAAATGTTTACCTCCATCTTCATGATAACTACACACAGAAATAGAGCAGTTTTGTTAAGCTTTTTCTGAGCAGGCTCAGGCACCGGCCCTACTAGTAAGATTATGAACCATTAGCTTGGTCCCAGGCGGTTAGGTGTTGCCTCTCATACATTCCTCTGGGATTTAAGCATTTTTTTGGAAATGTTTTCTACTTCAAAAGGCAAAGTTTTGCCATTTTTTCTTGAAGCCATATCAAGGATAAAGAATCCAATCTCTCTTTTTCTTGGGGATGGAGAATATGAGTATCATATTTATTTTTGTATACCTGATATTCATCATAGATTCATTCTCCTCATTCTTTTCACCTGAAATGCCTTTGATTTTAAAGTAATGTAGAAATTAAACATATTGTTGTTCTGCTGAGAACGGAGATCTTTGAAATAGTCAGTGTTAGTTATTCAGCATTCTGTTTCTCCCTATATAATGTTTACACTGAAAAGGGTTATTTATTTAAAATCTTATTTAAAAAATACTTTAATTTCAAGGCAATCATCAGCAATTAACTAACCATTTGGTGACATTTTTGACCTATCTGGAACATACACTCTTGTCATCATAACAATATACTAAACTTTTGAAGTATTAACTAACCATTTTAAAACTATTTATAATCTACCTTTAATAAGAAGTATGACCAAGGTACAGATAAAACATTTGTTCATCTAGAATTTGACTCATACAATCTTAATTTAGTATATGCCAAAGGAAATAAATCATCCCTCTAACTATATTTCTCTTATGAATTTATTTTGGAGAAGCAATTTAAGTCTTCAGCATATTACCTGCAAAATGATTGAAATCAGAATATGGAAAAATACTTCTTAGGTACAAAAGCATGCTAAAATAAAAACTTATCTGTTGGCTTGAAAAGAGAAAGCATGAGGTCCTTACTTGATCCTCAAGTTGATATATACCAGAGATATTTATGTCTCAGTTTTATGTCAAGGTCTGTACTGGGAGAACACTTTTTTTTTCCCCCCACAAAAGAGCAGATAGAAAAAAATTAATTTGATTTTATTTTTAATCAGGGAAGCAATTTAATAACCCTCTAAGGACAGTACATCCTAAGAAAATTTTCCATGAGCTGTTGCATAACCTGTGTATTGAAGAAACCCTTCTCTGCTCTGACTGATGCTCTGAGCAGCAGATGAATAGTTTACAGAGGAATCCCCATCCCCAGCAACATGATGTTGGTGCAGATTGTCAGGACTGTGGTACAAAGAGCAAGGCTCACTGGCAGTTCCCAGCCTCTTGTTCCCCTGCCAGCAGAGGCACAGCACACACACAACTCATTTCAAACAGTCTTCATGGAGGCATCTTTAGCAGTGTCATCGATTGCTTATGTTGCCCATCTCCTTTACCACCTCCAAAATAACACAAAAAAGCAATAAACTGTTGAAATAAAAAGCCTTGACAAATCTGTGCTACATTGAGTTTTGATCCCTTACATGCCCAAGTGTCAGAAACTCAGTGTACTCCAATTAAGAGAGAGCAGTACTATTGCCTTGGCTTCCCTGTTAGCAACAGGCATTGCTAATGTAAATCCCATCAGGGAGGGTGTGTGCAGATCAACTCACATGGCCAGTGCTAGCTCTCCACAGAGCTAACAAAACTTCTGCAAAAAGAATATAAATTATAATGTTCCAAAAATGCCAAGATGGTGACATGCATAGACTACTGCTTTTAATAATGCAGTACTTCCCAGACTGACAAATCAATGACTCTGAGAAGAAGTTTTTAACTGCCCCTATGTCAGTGAGATTTTTTTCCCCCATTAGAATGGAGAACAGAATGGAATGGAATAGAATTAGAAAGGAGACAGAAAGGCAAACACATTTTTGCCTCATATTTCTTGATACTGCCTTTTTTAATAAGTTAATCTGAAAAATGTGGATTGCTTGTTGTTCTTGTCCATAAACACTTCTTTTAGAATACTACTTTGAGGTTAGAAAAACTCAAATGCAGATAAGTCTTACAACAAATAAGCCTATTTGCATATGGTCTTCCACTTTTTCAGCATGGGAAAAAAATTCATTCACTTGAAAAAACAAATCAGGCTTTAATTTTTTTTTTTAGGTCTCAGTAGCTTGTAATATGGCTTTAGAAGATAGGAGATAATGTTTCATATATTTTTCTCATTTGAATACCACTAATTTAATTCTACAATTTTTGAATCAAAAGTAAAATAAATAGAAACATATGATAAAACCACATAACACTTTTCAAAGCATACCAAATTAATCTTTACAATACTCCTGATAGATAGGACTTTTATCAGTGCTTTTCAGATGGTGAGATTCTGGCAACAAAGGTAACCTTAAGCTAGTTTCCTAATATGTAAAGTACTTGAGTTCTGCAACCATAACAACAAAATGAACTTCTCTTTGTGTAAATTAATTTTAAAAAACTCTGAAGTTTTTAACTCAGAAGAAACTCAGAAATTATATCACAAGACACCCTGCTGTATCCACAGAGGATTGTGGGGCTGGGAGTTCTCTTCCCATCTCAGCTTTTGCACAGAGAAGGGACTCCCAGGGTAAGCAGCCGTCATCATCTGCAATGAGCAAGGTATATAAAGGAGGATAAGCCACATGAAACCTGGCTCCCTCTGAAGGGCCCAGAATCTGGCCCCTTCTTAGACACCAATCTGCTGTTGCCTGGACCAGATTGTGTACACCTTGTGCTCTGTCTTTGCAAAATCCCGAGACTTCACTCCATCCTCTTTGCTTCTCCAATCTCATCTTCTATCCTTCATCTTGGTTTCAATCTTCTTGCCTAGCAAATCCCAGTCTCTCCTTTCCAAACAAGTCTCTCGATGCCAGATACCTGAGCAGCTTCAGCAACTCAAGGGCTTTTCTTTCCTTGTTTGTATTTAACCAGTGTCAAAGCCACTGATGGTTCCATCTGAGATTTTTCTATCAGTATCCTAATCCCAAAAATCTTGTCCTACAAGGAGCAAAGCCAAGTTCCATTATTAGCCATAGCAGCTCCTGGTTTCAACTCACATTATTTCTCATTTATAGTATCCGATCCTCTTTCACCACTTTCCTCTTTAATCCACCTGGCCAGTTTGCACTACATTGCCAGCCTCAGCTCCCTCAAGCTCCTCATCCAACCCCATCTCATAACATCACTTTCCTCTTGTCCCTTGTTTTCTCTGCTTCTGTCATCCCTCACCAGGCTCCAGCCCCAAAACTTTTCCCTTCCTTTCTGCACTGAGATCAGAATTTAGCAAAAATACTTTTATTGCATAAGCATGTGCATCCAGTGTCACATCCTTGGTATAAAACTGACACCACTATATTGCCAAGAGCAAACACAGAGGTTTTTGGTTGTTTTTTTTTTTAAGGAATGGTAAATATACTTGAGGATCAAAATATCCTTACAGGATAAAATTTTTCTTGTTCTTGAAAATGGCTGTAATTATCCCTGAAAGAGTTCAGCAGATGGAAGACATAGAGAACAGAAAATGTTATCCCTGCAGGCTGAAGGTCATGAAGTTATCATCGAACTGCACACCTAGTATTGTAATGGGAAATGTCAGGTAATCTCAATAAGTGATGATTCTACCAGCTGCTTGGATGACACACATTGTTCTAACAGAACACTGGATCTTTCATTAGTTTTAATTACATTAAAGTAACTCTCTAGTTTTTAACCCAGCTTTTAATTTTATGGCAAATATCCTGAAAGCCCAGACAGCTAAACATTACTTTGGCATGCCACAGTAGGCTAAATTTTCCCTTAATTCTGCAGTAAGGTTGTTGACTCAGAGTGCTTAGCAATAGTGGAAATGGTATTTCTGCAAATGAGGGATGTGAGTTTTCACTGCAGTTTCGGTTTTCATTGCACATTCTTTCTCCCCTCTCCAGTTGCTAAGGTTAATGTTGGGATTACTACTAAATAAACTACACTAAATAAAGCCTGTTCAAGACTAGTGAGGTTTGAACAAAAAGAAAATATACCTACATAATTCATAGTGTCATAGACCTACATAATTTCCTAAGCTTGAAATCCTAATGAAACTACTCAGTAGTCCTTTGCATTGGCTGACCTTCATATCTAAAGTACTGAATATTTATAGTCATGTAAAAGGACTTCCTTTAATATTGTAGGATGTGCTCTTACAGCTGTAAGCTCAGCATGGAGGTAATGTAAAGCAAGATCAGGAGAACTTCTGTACCCAAAAGCTGATCTAAGAAAAGATACTACCTTCCTCAGAAAGCCTTATTTCTCTTACAATGGAATGAACAAAAGCCAAATGTTCAGCTAAGTCAGCATTCATAAGTTTCAGTATTCACAGTAAGAAGAGCAAAGAATTTGCTACAGCCTCTGGATTTGCACACAGAAGTGTTAACCCGTGTGACCTGTTTGCCATATAGCATCATACCTTCTTACCTCAAAACAATTTTGAATAAAATTCTATGAAATTTCCAGTCCTTATGTTGAGGGATTATTAATAAAAAATTAACACCTACTGGAAATTTTAACTTTCTGTACTGAACCCATAGCTGAAACCTGAAAAATGAGTGCTAAAATCTTATAGTCTCTTTAGGAAAATACTTAAAATATAACACAGCAATATTTTATTTAAGGGGAAGAGTTCTCTGATAACGTTTCAAGACTTATACATATATTTATATTTATCATATAATATCTCTCCAGGGTATTTCTCCATCTCTCAGGCTATTCACAGTATTCCTTAAAATGATGCATCTATTGACAGTCACATAACCTGGTGTCCAAAACCATCAGTACAAATAGATATAAAAAAATAATTGCATACTTAGACAGATTCCTTCCCCTTGAAGTTTAGTTGTCCTCCAAAACAGCATTGCAGGAAAAGGCACTAGATTTATGGCTGACATCTACTTACAGCCAGCAGAAAGACCCTGGAGATTTTATCCAGAAGTACTTAACATAAATTTGAGCAAGCTGGCTAAAATGAAACATGATCTAAAGTCCAAATAATATCACAGAACTCATGCCAGATATTCTTCAGACTGGGAAATCTTTTGATAATTCAGGAGTGGACTTAGCAGTGAAATCAAGAGGGACATAATTGCTGTTCTCGGGTTTGCACACTATTTCTCCTCTTGCAAGGAGCAGCTGGGGGACTGCTAAATTGTTTTCCACTCTCTATTATCAGATCTAGACTTTGTTTTTCTCTGCCACTCTCTCTGCATCATTTTCTTCACTTTTACTTAAATCAAGTGTGCATAAAAAATGAGAAAGCCCATTCTAGTGTGACACACTACTCAATTTGTAGCTCAGTTGGAGCTGGCTATTGCAGCCAAGCTGAACACTCATGCTTTAGCTGTGAGGTCTATCATCTCATCATTACATGGAGAGCACATCAGTGTCAGAGTAGAATTTTCTGGCCCAAAAACCTGGGATTACATGAAAAAGTGCTCCAAGCCTGCAGAGGCAACTGTAATGAACATGCCACTGCCAGAAATCTAGGTATTAATGATGATTTTGCTTTGAAGTCCAGTACAAATGTTTCCATACTTCTGATAGAAAACTATAAATAGAATTTTTCAGGTGGTGGTGAAATATTGATAGAGTCTAATTGAGTTAAATTGAGTGTAATACAGAGTCCAGTTATGCATCTAAAGTGCCTGGAATGCCAACAGTGATGTGGAAACTTGAAGAGTACCTATAAAAATGTTAAGTTAGCTGCCAGCACTTCAAGGACCTCCAAACTGTCCTCCTGACACAGGGTATAGAGCCAAGAAAAGAAAGCCATGCTTCAGTTTCAGATTAGAATGGCAGTAGGTTCTTTTTGCTTTCAGATTATTAACACTGAAATGAACTGTCACCATCAGTGTTGTCACTAGGCATCAAAAATGACATCAGCCAGTGTTCAACAAGAAATGAAAGCATGAGACTGACATGGAAGAAGAAGATCAAAATAAAAAGGTGCTATTGTGTAGAAGAGAGATAAATGAACCCCAGACTTCTGATAGAATGACACATGATCTATAAACTGGAATCAGTATGTAAACCTTAAATAAAAGGTTGGTGTTTTCACATTACAGCATTTGAGTCTTGTTTTTTCAGCACTGCCACACACCTGCAGTACAGAAAACATCCTTTGGGAAGAGGTATTGTGGGGCTGTTGCAAGGAGCTGTTGGAGAACCACTTTTGTTTGAGCAGTACCTAAGCAGAGGGCTCACTGTTTCAGCTTTTCAGTTCATTATCCACTGTGGTAGCACAAGTGCAACATGAGCTTTCAGAGGTCACCAGTGCTGCAGGTTGAGCATGGACATGTGAATGAGCTACTCCTACAGTTTATTTAACTGTGATTCATGGTCCCTGGGGAAAGAGAAACTGTGTTCTATTAGAGGACTGTGTTTCTCTGCCCAAATGGAGAGGGATAGCATTTATCTTTTCCTGTGGCCCTTAAGATAAACTTGCTGTTCTTTAGTGAGGTTCTAGATACTTGATTTTTGAATGTGCTCTCCCTGTGTGGGTTTTTTTTTTTCCCATCAGGAATAAAGGAGTATTAAAAAGAATAACTCAACGGAGCAATCCCATTTGACATGGACTAATGGTAGAAAGCATCCTTGCAAGTTAATTTTCTCTGTAGCTCCTGATGCTCTTGTCTTAGGTTGGAGTTATGAGAATTCATAAACTATTCTATAAGTTATAGTGGTCACACTCTTTATTTTTATAGAGAATTTTATTATATGAAATAATTTAGTTAGCTAGGTATTCCACTACTACTAATTGAAAGTTGTTGCAATATACAAAACAGATGCAAAGTGCAAGACTGCACAGTGCACCACAGTGTGTGCACAGCAGTGACCTCCTCAGTGCAAATTTAAATCACATGTCCAACAATGACTGCCACCAGGTTACAAGCATCTACAGACAGGTAAGAGGCAGGATTGGGCCTGGTTAAATATAGGAATTGTGTTGATGCCTTTGAATTTTTGCAAAACTACTATGTGTAACAGTGTATTTCATAAAATATACATAACATTTCTTATGGAGAATGCAGTACAAATCTAGACAAAGGTGTCATGTGAAGAACAGAAGAGTCTTCAGCCACCATTGTCTGCCTTGCAGAGGAAGACAACTTCCTCTTGCAACAAGGAGAGAGGGCAGGTGGAGCTTTTTTCCTCCCTGTTGTACAGCAGAAGGAAGAGACTTGTTAGGGCCTAGGCCTCGTACAGAATTCCTTCCTCTCAGGATAGGCAGAAAACAAAGGCAGACTTTTACTCTGAACTAAAGAGCAGCACAGCATGATCCTTGCCTTGGACCTTATGATAAGTTAATTATTGAGGCTCTGTTTTTCAGCAGTCAATTTGAGAGTCCCCATCTCCTCTATTTACACCTCCCCATCCACTCCCAGCCCCCATTTTCCTTTAAACAAAAGGAAGTTATCCTTGGAAGATTCCAACTCCTTCAGCCTCTGACACTGAGAATATTAAAGGATCCTTTCCTTCCCTCTGTCACCTCCACAGCCTAAGATCACTCAGGACACAGGACCATGGGCACAGGTCTGCTAAACCTGCTCTTTTTCCTAAGAGACTTCACTTGGTACATGCCTGATCCCAAAAGTGAATAATGTACTCCACAGTACGCTGCATAATGAACTCCAGGGCCTGGGATGGCCCTGCTGGAATTCAAGTAGCTAAAAATCTGAAGAAAATAAAGGTAAAACCAGGGCAAATGAAGAAGAGGTTATGTCATGTTTATTCTCATCTTTCTACATAAACCTTCTCAAAGCCAATTTCTTTGCAGAGGCCAGCACCTTGCAGAAGATCATAGTTACTGATCATTTTTGCTGCTTCTTTATTGACAGGCAGTAGTAATGGAGGAGTCTGAATATCTGACTTTTCTTCCAAAGGAGAAACAAGACAAACTTCAAGAAAACAATGTCTTCTTTTGCCATCCCAAGAGTGGTTTTGCCTGCAGGTAATGGTGCTGAATGAATCAATGTATTACTGAAATTTAAGGGTGATGACAAAGGCATAGCAGTACTTACATCTGAACCAGAAACATGCAAAGTGAGAGAAATTCCTCTTTTGCAGTGTATTCTTCTCATTCAGAACAAGCCTTGCTATGCCTCAGGCAGCTTCACTTTTATGATAACAATCAAGCATTTTTCTCAGTATTTTTCATGCCTATGTGTACTGTCCTAAAGAGATTACCTCAGTGAGGCACTCCTGCAGGAGTTTCTTTCCCCCCTTGCCAAAATGCTATTTTCCAGTGACTGTGATGGGCAGTACTTTCAGCTGGGATAGATCAGCATTACTCCTCCATTCAGTGCAGAAGGACTGTGGCACCAGAGCACCAACAGAGAAAATCTTTAAACTGTGAATCAAATGTTTAGGAAGCGCACAAGGAAAAGCGTGTGGGAGTGCTGGAGCAATGCTTGTGCCAGCTTTCCAGATTTATTACTACAATATCATCATGGTCAACATAATTAAACCTCCCACTATAGGTCTCTTCATCTACTGCACTACAACTGGTATCACTCCCACCACCAAGCATATTTCGTTGTCACAAAAAAGTTTTCCATACTCCTGCCAGACCTAGGATTTGGATATGCAACTACTGAGAAAGGCTTTATGGAAAACTATGGGGCACAATTTGGATTTTGACTGATCCTTCCTATTTCTCTTCTGTTCTAAACTTTCTTTTAATATTACACATATTAGAGTGTGTGGCAGGGGGAATGAACCAAAGCACTTTATGTTAGATTCCAAATTAAATTCTTCTTCATTTAGAAACAGATGACAGCCTAGACATGAAGCATTTGAGGTCAATGCTGAATTAACTTCCTCAGTTTCAACTAATTAAAATGTCTGTGTGTTCTACTTTGAAAAGGAAAAAAGTCCACTAGAGATTCCATCCTTTTGCTTCCACAGACAAATTACAGTGGAAGCTATAGGTCTTCTAAAAAAACAAAAACAAAACAACAAACCCCAGTTTTCTTGTCTGTTAGAGAGTAAGCAATTACTTTTTTGCATTCACTTAATGATTGGTTCTTCTTTTCAAAGGTAGGTTCAAATATTTTAAAGATATCTTACCCTATGTTTGATACATTTAAATGCTAATGATTTTATTTCAAACCTGCATTAAAAGTTGAACAGCATGTTTGTGGAAAACAAAATTCTGACAGGTTGTCTCTTTACGAACACTGTCTCAGGTAAAACTTAATATTTAAAAAAAAAATTAAAAATAAATGGTATTTAAAAAACCCAAACAAACCTGACCTCCACACCCTGTCTCCAACTATTTAGCAGAAAGAGAATGTTTTTTCTACTGAAGAGGACTTGCTCTAATTTTTATAGAACTCAGCACACATCCTTTAACTTCAGTACTGTGAGGGTTCTGCATTTTAAAAGATTACGTAAATAAGAAGTGATGTCTGGGGCATGGCCTTTTGACTCCATAATCATCAAAACAAAGTAGCATATGCCATTGGAAGAAACAAAGAAATGAACTTTGACTGGCCTTTGGAGAATGTGCTTTCTGGTTTGCTTTATTAATGGAGACAGTAAAACTGAAGCTTAATATGAAATACCATGAGTAATAAGCATGAAATATGTGTACTGCAGTGCAAATCTGTTCCCCAAATATTCTCATTTCAGGGGAGAATTCTTTTGGCACAATGCCTGGGCTGCTGGCCACAGCCTGCTTGGCTGCCTTGTCCTGTGCCTAGCCTCTTTAGCAGCTGGTGCTGCTCTCAGGCACTGCATTCAGCTCCTGCTCCCACAGCTTATTGTAGGTTTAATTTTTTCTTAGAAAAATATGTTTCTATATTTAGTTTAGGACATCAAGCCAGTTGTTGAATCACAAACAACTTTGGTGTTCCTGCTACCAAACATAAGCAGTCTGTGCACACTGTGGGCATAACTGCACTTTCTAATTGAGGAGTACTTCTGGATCCATTGTGCAACTGATGTTTGGAATTTAGGAGTATTATTTATGTCTCTCTAAAATATTCTAAATCTTACTAATTCAATAACCAAAACCAGAATTTGCCTCTTGAAAAATAAGGTTATGCTCATGCACACTGGCTTTGTGTTGATTTCATAAAACTGGCCCAAACTCTGTGTGATAATAGGGATTTACTCACCAGAAACATTATGCCCTGCCTGTGCTGTGGGCAGGAGGGTGTGTGCAATGAAGTCATTAGCTAAACACAGGAAAAGAAAGACATGCTTTTATCTATGATAGAAACATCTGACAGGCAAGAAAATGTTTCACATTTAGTACCTTCTTGCCATATGAAAGGAAGGGATAAGTAAACACTTCTCTGTCCCTGGCTTTTAAGGCTGGCGCAGGAGGAACAGAAGCCCTGACTCTAAAAGCTCCATCTTCAGACTTGAATAGAGAACACTTATATTTCCACTGCCCTTTCCTTTTCTGCCTCCTTGATGTAAAATGGATGTTAAAGACACCTGGAAGAAAGCTGTTCCCAACCCTGTTCATTTTCATTCCACCTATGGTAGAAAAGGGGATAAAATTGATTTTAAGTTCCTGTCCAAGAAACAACACAATATTCCATTTTTGAGCCTTCAGCTTTATCAACCTCCAGATCAGAAAACTCACTTTGGCATAAATGTTACCTCACATACAAGATCTTATTGCAGCTCAGGGTGCCTTAAAGTATATTCTGAAATCAGCAGCTTGAAATTCAGCTACACACACTCGGCACAAAGAGCCTGGAAAAATACAGCATTTTCTAATTTAATGATCTTTGTGTTGAGGTGAAAAATTAGCTGTTCACCTTGGGGCCTGACTGAAAATCCAAGGCATGAAATTATTTGGAATTGCATGGCTTGCACATTATTCCTTTCCATTGCATGTAGCAAATTTACTGTAGGTTGGTCTGGAGAGCAGAGGGAGGGGGGCTGCCCTGTGATACTCGGCATCCTCTCCAGCTGCATCTGCTAATGACAGAACCCTATCCAGCACTGCTGAAACCAGGAATTTTGCCACTGACTTGAAAGGCAGCAGGATTTAAAATTACAATGCATACCACTTATTTTCTTCCCCTTGACAATATGGCCAGTGCATTCTGGGTAGGAAGCTAAGCTTCCCCATACTTGTACATAATTTGATCTCCTGACAATAATCCACATGCAGCTAAATGGTGCCTGCATAACATTTTTTTTTTGCCTCAGTGGTTAAGGCATATCATTTGGAACCACAAAAACAAACCAAAGATCAACCTAGAAGTAAAATAATCACCAGGTGGGGAAATGATAGAAGTGAACAAGGCCTGAAACACAAACTAGAGTGTGGGTATCCAAGGACATTACAGTCAAGCTTAGTGATGATTTTGAACACAGATATAAAAGGATAAAATACTGAAGTACAGAAGTCATTCTGATCCCTATTAAATACCAAATCACAAAGAGACGTCTGAACACAAAAAGCTATTATTAATAAAGCTTCTGTAGTTTAAGAGGCATTGAGCTCTTTGCAAATTAAGTGACATTTGCCTCTTTTGGGATTCCAATTTCAATTTGTTTGCTTTACGTTAAGTGAACCATCTGCTTCCTTTTGGTCTTTTCTAAGACTCCACAAGCCTCCCATTCTGAAGCAAAAACCACTCTGAGCTGGAATTTTTAGGTCTCATGCAAATATACAACAGAGATAGGACATGGCCCTATCCCTCTGCACGGCTGCCACTTGGATGAAGTACCTTTTTTTTCCATCCTCTAGAGCAAATTAGACCCTGTGAAACCCAAAAGGAAGGGAGCTCCTGATGCTTTGTCCTCCACCTTTTACAAGGATGTACAGTTGATGTGCTCTTCCTGCATACTGAGTAGCTGTGACAAGGACTCCACCACCCTGACACAAAACCACTTCTTTGTGCTCCCTCTGCATTTGTAGCTTTCTGCCACAGCAGCAGTGCCTCAGCAGGGCATCCTCCAGCATCAGCTGGGAGATATTTTTGCATAGCTCCCTTTTTCTGTAACCAATGCTGTCCAAATCTGCCCTATACAATATATTGCCCTGTATTGCCACTGTACATTATAAATAACATAATATAGATAACATTTTAAAGCCATAAATCTTTTCCTTCCTCCTGGGAGCTGTATTGATCAGGAAAGAGAACAACATACAATCAGGGACACAAATGTATATATTTCTTCCTTCTTTCCTACTCTCTAAAGGTTAATACATGAAAAAAACTCCTCAGTGTCAAGATTTAGAAGCTGGGCATTAATTGCAAAATTCTCTCTGTCCTCCAAATATGAAGGTTTAAAAGTCTCTCAACCATCACTGCTGAAAGCCAGATACAGGATCTTGCAACAGAGTTCCATGCCCTTGCTGCAATTTAGATTTTTAATTCCTTTCTTCCAAAGCAGTTTCACAATTACTTGTAATTTGTCCACCAGTAGTTTCCCTCCTTCTAAATCAAAACACAAACTGCTCCTGGTTTACAACAGCCAGGCATTATTTTTGTTAACAGAACGGCGCTTGAAGAGTCTTTATGTCAACCCCCCTATTACCTGCAGCAAAACAATACCAGAAATTGTATGGAGGCAGATCAGTAACATCTCCTCACAAACTACAATTTCTTAAAAAATTTAGTAATTAGATATAAATAGAAGGAAACACCACAGCAGTGATTTGCTAGTGACAGTACATGTATACTTTTATTAATATTCAGATGTATTGCATTAGCACAGAACCTGTATCCAGTTCTACAACCAACACTTGTAGTTCTATTCAGGTTGCTGCTATGACAACTATCCAGAGTCAAATGTTAGGTCAACTCCCAGCATATGTGTCTAGGCCATAATTCATTTGCCAGAAACCTAACAGCCACCTTTTCCTACTCCTGTAACAGATAAAAGCAATATTGTTAAAATAACTAAATGTTAAATTATCCTTAACAGCCTATTCACTGAAAACTTTAGATTTTCCTTGCTTTTATCCCCCAAAACAAA